TTTAAATACATTTAATTGATATTCCATAAATTCATTTTGTATGATTTCATTGACCTTGGCGTTGTTCAAAATCATTTTGTATTGTATTGAAACTGTATGTCTATGACCTATGTTATGTACTATATTAACCCATTGAGTCGCATTGCACCCTGATGCACCCTACTTTGAACAGTATTTTACTCTGTCTAACGCCAGAAGATTTTACTCGTCAAGGGGTGAGTGCTGGCGCTTAATGGGTTAACTGATCTATCTACCCATGTGTCTAGTTAACCCATTGGGTCGCATTGCACCCTACTTTGAACAGTATTTTACTCTGTCTAACGCCAGACGATTTTACTTGTCAAGGGGAGAGTGCTGGCGCTTAATGGGTTAACTGATCTATCTGCCCATGTGGCTAGTTAACCCATTGGGTCGCATTGCACCCTGATGCACCCTACTTTAGTATTTCACTCTGTCTAACGCCAGAGTACTTTACTCTGTCTAACGCCAGACGATTTTACTCGTCAAGGGAAGAGCGCTGGCGCTTAATGGGTTAACACGCCCAAAATCTGTACTAAAACTGCTAATTCTGTTTTGTGATTGGCACAGTTTAATCAAAGAATCCTCCCGTTGAACCAGAGCCTTCACGATATTTCAATTTACTATTAACTGAAGGCTCTGGAATCCAGGATAGCTTGCCATTGAATACAGTGCAATGCTTATATTTCTGAATGAATAAGATCATACTCAGAACAGTCAGAACTGCAAAACTATATTGTTAGAAAGAAGTTGAAGTTGTGAGCATTATTGTGGTAACACAGCCATATGTATATATCAATGTATGTCAGTAGAATCACGTTTATAGGCTTTATATATAACTGAGGCTTATACAAGTCATATCTTATACAAAAGTCAGTTGATATGCTATATTACATGTAATTGCTGATAAGTCCATATATGCAGACAACAATCCACACTGGGTAGCTCTAGGAATCTTGTTAAGCCTGATTTAACAACATCCCGCGTTTGTTTTTAAACTATAAACATTTAGAAATAGAACGTACAGAACACTATTATATACTCACCGCCTTTGGCTTTGCACATATTAAGTGACATAACAAACAAATAAACTAAAAGTTCATTTGCTTCTTGTATCAGCATAAAGGCATTAATCATTACTGTCGATTTGGTCGGGAATAGATCAGTGATTCAGTGGGTATTATAATTGCCGATATATACTTGAAATCATTTTGTTTCAATGCCTCTATATCGAAGTTTAATCAGACAGGTAGACAGGGCACACGGCACGACTACATCACTATACGAGAACGAAATAAAGCCATCCTTACCTGAATTATTCAAAATATTGTCGATCATTCTTGCGCCAGAGACACAAAATAACACCGTGCTTTATTTACCCATTCATCTTCACAAATATTACTCGGAATTTTTACGGAAATTCGCATTATTTTATGATTTTTATATTTCTGTCCGTTTATAACAGTCGCCATGTTGTGAACAAACCCCCCCGGCAACAAAAAAATAATATCAAAACAGCTAGTTTTGGCCCGTCCGTGGATGACAAAATGACATAAATCGAGATTGTAGCGGCTATAAACTCGGCGGTCACGTGGTAAGCACACCACGTGTAGAGATTAGTGTGCTGCCTCGCTACGCTCGGCAGCAATAAATATACTTCGCTGTCGCCATTGGCATTGTTATAAATAAATTGTCTCACTTATCAGATCGTGTGTGCAATTCTTGTTGGCGGCGGAAAGTACGAAATTTATTTCATTTGGTAAAGAACTCTACAAAAGAAGAGAGCGTCCCGAGTCCAGATCGTTTCGTTTCAAACGGCAATTTAATACCGCCTTCTGTTTCGCTCTCTCTGCGAAGCCTTGTAAATCGCAAAGTGTTTCGAATAGGCTTACAGTTCTTACATGCAACTGCATCTCAACATCAACCAAAAGATAATTTTCTTGAGGAAGTGAGAACACATAACGTATCAACTGAAGTTTGTTTGAAACTAATGAAACTCAAGTAAAGGTTACTATAGTTTACCCCAGTCGTAATGTTGCTATTCCAACACCTCACGACAAGCAATCCCCATTGGCATAACGGCAAAAACATGTCTTCCTTCATGTAAACAATAAACAGTCTGTTCTTGTTCCATTTGTAATCGAAAAAAGTGATCAATTTTCAAATTTTAAGCTTATCTAGAGCATTTGTCTATGCCTTTGTGATGAATCACTGTTCCCTTGTGCCTGCACATTGGGCTAGGTTAATTAATTACCGATCGCCTCAGCTAGCCAATGGGAATTTAGCCGGCGGTTCGGCCGGCGAAAATCGAAAACATGGGGTGATGGTTGCAGGCCCACTATCAAGTTCCCTTGGGCCTGCACGCAGGCTATATAGGAATTTTCAATGCCTATTGGAATTCCTATAGGGATTTTCAATGCCTATAGGAATTCCTATAGGAAATTTCAATTCCTATAGGAATTGCTATAGGAATTTCTTTGACCATTTTCAATTCCTATAGTAATTCCTATAGGAACTTTCAATTCCTATAGGAATTCCTATAGGAATTTTGATTTCCTATAGGAATTCCTATAGGAAATTTTCGTAAGGGAATTTACTCATCAAAGGAAGAGTCTTGAACATTCAATAATCCAGCAACAGTATGCAATGGCAGATATTGTCTGATTAACCCATTGAGGGGGCAGCACTCTCCCCTTGATAAGTAAAATTGTCTGGTTGTAGACAGAGTAAAATATTCTGACATGCCCCAACAAAATTTTTTTAAAAAATGATAAAAATATTCAGTTTCAACTGATGAGAAACAGTTTTGAAAAAGTTGGGTCAAATGCAACCCTTTGCATTTGACCCTGACCACAGACATGAGAGGATTGAGTTTAGCAGGGGCAAACTAAAACATAAAGATGCAAAATGCATAGTTTTTTTCTCTTAACTGTCAGGTTTCCAAATTAAATTTCACAAACTAATTTCCGCATGTCGCAAAAATGCAATGAAACGAACTTTTGGTGAGAAGTTGAGTTTCAAAACTCAATTCAAGATTGAGCTTTTGAGGCGGCCCTAAAAATCCCTGAAAAAACCTAATTTGATGAAAGAAATGCTTTGCCTATCCACAACAATTTGAGCATATTTCTTTATTTTTGGAAACTGACTAAGAAAACATAGAGGCAGGGAGGCAGTGTCAAAGGGGAATCATTGGAGAAAAGTTTTCATATAATTTGTGCATAATAGTCATTAGTTAATATGATACAAGTAATTAAAACTGACCTTTCAAGTACTTCATCTGCATATCCAAATGAACTAACACATCGAAGAATGACAACATGTATTGTTGGAGAAATGTTTTTGGTTTGGTCCAAGGATTGTTATATACTGTAGTTTCTTTGTCACATAGTTCAATGGCTGTTTTCTAAAATGGGTAAGATTTTACTGATTATGCTCCAATGCTCCCTTTATTTTTGTGTTCTAACTAATGGCCAATGAATTTACTCATCAAGGGAAGAGTCTTGGACATTAATCCAGCAACAGTATGCAATATTGTCTGATTAACCCATTAAGGGGGCAGCACTCCCCTTGATAAGTAAAATTGTCTGGTTGTAGACAGAGTAAAATATTCTGACATGCCCCAACAAAAATATTTTTAAAAAATGATAAAAATATTCACTTTGGACTGATGAGAAACAGTTTTGAAAAAGTCGGGTCAAATGCAAAGGGGGACCACAGACATGAGAGGATTGAGTTTAGCCAAGTTTAGCAGGGGCACTAAGGGACACTTCCAACAACTATAAACTAAAACATAAAGATGCAAAATGCATAGTTTTTTTTCTTAATTGTCAGGTTTCCAAATTTAATTTCACAAACTAATTTCCACATGTCACAAAAATGCAATGAAACTTTTGGTGAGAAGATTGGAGTTTTAAAACTCAATTCAAGATTGAGTTTTTGAGGCAGCCCTAAAAAAAACCTGAAAAAAAAACCTAATTTGATGAAAGAAATTTTTTTGCCTATCCACAACAATTTGAACATATTTCTTTATTTTTGGAAACTGACTCAGAAAACATAGGGGAATCATTGGAGAAAAGTTTTCATATAATTTGTGTATAATAGTCATTAGTTAATACAGTATGATACAAGTAATTAAAACTGACCTTTCAAGTACTTCATCTGCAAATCCAAATGAACTAACACATCGAAGAATGACAACATGTTGGAGAAATGTTTTTGGTTTGGTCCAAGGATATACTTGATTGGCTTGTACACATTGTTATATACTGTAGTTTCTTTGTCACATAAGTTCAATGGCTGTTTTCTAAAATGAGTAAGATTAACTGATTATGCTCCAATGCTCCCAACAGTATGCAATGGCAGATATCATCTGATTAATATATTGAGGGGCAGCACTCTCCCCTTGACAAGTAAAATCGTCTGGTGGTCGACAGACTAAAATATTCTGACTGGCATGCCCCTATACCCAGTTGGAACGTCTGAAAATTGACGAAAACCATTCCTCTGATAAAAACAGTCACTTTTGATTGATGAGAAACAGTTAGTTAATATGATACAACTACTGTAATTAAAACTGACCTTTCAAGTACTTCATCTGCAAATCCAAATGACCTAATGCATCCAAGAATGACAACATGTTGGAGAAATGTGTTTGGTTGTCCAAGGATAGACTCAATTAGCTTGTACACATTGGTATATAGTTTCGGTATCACATAGTTCAATTGCTGTTGTCTAAATTCAGCAATCCATCAATCTTCTTACGGGTACCATTTGCACCCTTACTATCGATACCATTTCCAACCAGTTTAGTCATCCTACTATATAAGGTTTAGTCTTACTTTTTTGCCAATTCCCCCCCCCCCCTCCCCCTTTTTCTGAAATGAAAAAAGTGGCTAAAAATGGACGAAAAGTTAAAGCTAATAATAATAATTATTTACTCAAATGCATGACCATGACGATTATATTATATTATATTACTTTCCCTTTTTTATATTTAATATTATACTCTTTCTAATCCTTTCTGTTCTTAAATTGTGATATTTGTATTTGTCATACAGTATCTCTCTCCTATTTTATATGCTCTTTTTACATTTAATATCATACATGTAAATGGCAGTATATCGTTGTTTTTCATTAGTGAATTCAAAGTAGTTTTTATACCAGTTAACTTTTAACTTTATAACACTTAGCAATACCTGTAATTAGGTCATGCAAATAAAGCTTTATTTTAAAAAAATGCTTAACTTTTCGGCCAAATTTTTGCCATGTTTTGAATTTTTCAAAAAGTGACGACTACAAATGGTGAAAAAGTAAAGGGGTTGTTAGCCTTAACTTTTTTTCAAAGAAATATTAAGGGGTTAGCCTTTACGTTTTGGCCATTTTTTTCTCAAAGTCTATAATGTTTCAAACCATAACATCCAGAATATTGTGCTTTGAGATGATTGTTTTACAATCTAGTGTATTAACACTTAACAATACAACAATGATCAGGTAGAGGGTTGTTCAAAAAACCACGATTAGCGCTAACCCTGTGTTAAAATTTAACCCATGGTTTTGGTTTAT